TTCTTCTTCTTCTTCTTCTTCTTCTTCTTCTTCTTCTTCTTCTTCTTCTTCTTTTAAAAAATAATAATGAATGTCTCTGGAGAAAGTGAAAAAGACTTCAGTGTATTTAAACAATGCTGTGCGATTCTATTACACGTCTTTTAGGGACACCGCTATGGGTTCTTGTTGTGAAAAGAATTATATACAAGTTTATGTCACGAATGCTTGAGTGATATTGCACCATCATATTTATATTATTAAATCTGTTGGAACTGTGCGTTCCAGCTCGTAGTTTTAAGTCACTAGATGACAAAAAGAAATTACATGTACCATCAACGAAATTTAAAATAATGAATTAAATGGCATTAGCATTTCACGATCTCAAGATCTGGAACACACTACCCGGTAATGTTATTTTCTTCCGAGCCTTCGGCACTCCATCTAGACTCATAATATAGTAAGATTACCTCCACATGTTGCCATAATGTTTCAGAAATTATAGTCTTTGTTTCAACGCTATAACTGCCTGACGTTCCTTCTCCATCCCCAGTCCTTTCGGTGGTCTTATCAAAGACATAAAGCGAAAGTTGCCATGGTATGCATCTGATTTCAAAGATGCCCTTCACATCCAGTGCCTTGCTTCCTTCGTCTACATTTTCTTGGCTACTCTTACGCCAAACGTCACGTTCGGTGGTATGCTGGGTACAGAGACAGATCAGTTCATGGTGAGATTTGAGTTAATTCCCTTTGAGAACTGATAAGCGTAAATTCCGATTAATTATGACATATTATATTCAAGAAGGTATAGTCAGACAGACAAACTGAGACGCAGAAAAAGAAATGCTTTTCAGAGACATAATCAAATTGACTCTTTCGTACAGTTAAGCACATGCACTGACAGACAAACAAGCAAATGTGCATACAGACAAGCAGGCAGACAGACAAAGGGAAGGAAATACAGACGGTTAGGCAGACAAATAGAACTTGCACTTTGGTGAATGTTGTGAAATATATAATTATTTATATCGCGTTAAAAGGCACGCACTTCATCTAAATTTCTTAAACGTACACAAATGACAAAATGTTGTCCCCTCAAAGCTTGCCCTCCTGCTAAGTAGGGGGCGAGGAGTCATGGCTAGAACCCGTCTCTAAAGACTCCAGTTGGAATCAAGTAATCGAGTAATCCAAACGTGCTCGGGTGAACAATGAAACCCTCTAGGTGATGGCGCACTCACGAGATCCGCACACTCTGCACACATTACATTAGAATACAAAATTTACAAATTACTGAATAACAATACTAGTATTTCAAATTGTGGATCAAACTACTTATACCCAATGTCTTGGGCATTTTTTCTTTTTTAAAATTCTTTATTATTGTAATAATTTTTGGCAGTACAAACTGCATCCATGATAATGAAAATTAAACTGTATCCATTATAATGAAAAATGATATCATCTTGACGTTAAGAAGATACAGTCATGAATACACATTTTAACAAGCAATATTTACGTATCTAAGACATGGTATGGTATTCAGTATGAACATTTATTTATTTTTCATTTTATTTGGAAAGGATGGGAGCAAGGTTTAACACCTTTCTATCTTAATTGATGTATGTATTTTTATTGTGGGTTCTTATTGCTGTTGTAAACAAAATGTGGGACGAGATGGGAGTCTGACTGAATATTTCTGAAATAAAGAGCTCTGGTTGAATGACTGGGTATAACGCATGATTCAACGAAACTGGATGGCATACAGTGCTAAATAGTCAACTTTCCAGGACATCCTTATTGTTTAAAAAGTATTTAAAATGTGAAACGAATCAAGTTAAGCTAAAGCATTCTGGGCGATAAGTTGAACTACAAAAGTGTTTCTCTTTAATTCAACTACATTTCACTCTCCAAGATAGAAAAAAAAGATAAAGCGTAACACCCAGAAACATTCTTCTCTTTTTCAGTGAGTTATATTCGTACTCACCAAAAACAACAGGTTATCACTTTTATTTTAGATAATATAACCTATGTACATAATGTCCAGGGGGTGATGGAGTGCATCTTGGCTGCAGCTGTGACTGGTGTGGCTTTTGCCTTGTTCTCTGGACAACCCCTCAACATCCTGGGCAGCACAGGTCCTATGTTAGTCTTAGAGAAGATCATCTTCGACTTCTGCAAGTAAGTCTCACTCGATGGTTCCTGTTGGTGGTTCATTGAGCGTACTCCTCCTGTTGCTGTTGCCGCTGGTATTGCTACTGTTACTGTTGCTGTTGATTCTCCTATTCCTCCTCCTCCTCCTCCTCCTCCTCCTCCTCCTCCTCCTCCTCCTCCTCCTCCTTCTCCTCCTCATCCGCCTCCTCTCCCCTTACTCCTCCTCTGCCACCTTTCTCTCCAACTCCCCCTCCTCCATTCGTGTCTTGTCATCCCCTCGTCCTCCTTTTCGTCCTTTTCCTCCTGTTAATGCAAGAGAGACTGTTGTTTCAGTCTATCTGGCTTGTGTTTATCCTGCATGATAATGCGATAACTGTCTCCTAGCAATTGTGCTCTTTCTGCACTTGTAATTTTTACCTTTTAATATGAAAGAGATATGCTATAGCCCATAAAATTTTATATGTTTCTTATTTTTTCCCGGTGAAATATTGCTTGCGAAGAATGAACTTGATTCATTCTGGTGTTCTAAAAGTCTCTTGGTTATGATGTTAAGGACCAATGCCATATATCCTCTCAAAAAATCTTGACTCACCAATTTTAACTCAAATCAAATAACCTTTTCCATTGTACAGAGACAATGACTGGGAATTCCTTCCTTTCCGCTTTTGGATCGGTATCTGGACAGCTGGTATGTTACTTCTGATCGTAGCCTTCGACCTCTCGGCTCTGGTCAGGTACATCACCCGTTTCACAGAGGAGAGTTTCGCGTCTCTCATTGCTCTGATTTTCATCTACGAGGCGTTTGTCAAGCTCTCTGATATCGCCAAAAAAGATGCGCCTGTGAGACTGAACCCGGGCGATCACCCCGAGCAGCCCAATTGCTACTGCAACTTCACAGCACGTGAGCAACAGCTTTCATCTTCCATATTGATATTTATGAAAAAAAGAGATGTGTCTTTTACTTACATACTTTGTAAGTATGCCTTGCATTTAATTTAACTCAGGCCACAATAGAATTTTTGTGTGAAGCCTATTGACAGAGAGAAGAATACCGTTTTGTTTACCGTGGAATATGATCGTCTTTTTATCAGATTGGCATCTGTAACTGCAAATATGTGTATGTCTAGGTATGTGTATGATCTCTTGCGAGTGTTGAATGTCAATGTGTGTTTTGACGGCCCCATATTCTCAACAGAAAATGCGAAAACAAAATATATAACTCTGTTTAATTAACAATACATGTTCAGAACCAATGGTAAATTTCCTGAATTTGTTTTAACAGAAGCAAAAACAATATAATTAATTATTAAAATGTATCATCGTCCGTTGTATACTTTAAAAATTATTGTTCCCAAAAAACTGAACATGGGAACGGTTACAAAATGAATCCGGTTATTTTGTATACGGAAAGAACAGAAGAAGAATAATGTAGGGAAACATCAGGCGCGCCAAAAACCCACATAGGTTCAGGTAAATATCATCAGAATGTTTTACCTGGGGTTTTATTCACTCATTGCCGCCTCACATTCAGGAAACATGCGTCTGATGTCCCGCCGAGAGCAAAATGAAATCAGCTGATCTTGTTTACCAGGGCTTCACAATCTTGGTCTTTATGGCGCCGCTGGTAAAACAGCTACATTAAATCAGAAAGTGTAAAAAATCATTGCCAAATGAAATTTTCAAACGGATTTGCCATTTTTATGGACAGTTTTTGTTATTTTTAGCTGTTGTTGCTGCTGCAGCTGTTGTTGTTGTTGCTGTTGTTGCTGTTGCTGCTGTTGCTGCCGTTGTTGTTGCTCTTGTTGTTATTGTTGTTGTTGTTGTTGTTATTGTTATTGTTTCCTTTGGGGGGGGGGGGGTTGTGGGGGTTTCTTAAGGATAAACCTGTGTCAGGTTTCATTGTTATAAAGCATATAACATATTGAAAAAGTTTTACGTAGCCATAAGTACAACAATTTAGGTCATTAAGAGAAAGTGTTGCTGCTTAGACCCTGGCTCGTGCCAGAAGAAAGACAGGGATATATCAACAATATATTGAGTTTTTGTGAATCAAACCCACGACTTTTGTATGTGAGGCGAAGAGCCCCAGAAAGGTATAAAGAACATATGTATATGAGATGTATCTTGCTTTTGGTGTTTGGTTTGTGACTACTGTAGTCAGCTCCATTTACTTCTTTTCAATGTTGCTATGGTCCTCATTTGTGCCTGATGAAAAAAGAGTCCTCTTTCGTGAATTCTCAAGCGTCTATAGTCTGCAGTTTACCTTATTTATTTTGGAACATACTCCTTTGTTTCCTACATCCTTTTCCTTTAATCCAAGCCACAAAGCAACGGGTGCCTGTGGTGTAGCGATTATGCCCTTAACCGTCGCACACAGAAGCCTTGAGTTTGATCCCCGTGTAGAATAATGTTTATCGAGTAGCTCGGTCTTCCTGTTAGGGTTCCATCTCTCCCAACCCTGAGTGGTGGTGGGGTGGGCGCTTTGGAGTTGCTTCCCTTCTATCCTAATAGATGTTTCTTATTTATTTTATATTATGCTCATTGCGAATGTAATCGTTGTCGTACTGAATCTCAGTACCTTGTTTGTTTGTTTTTCTTCAAAACCTCAGTTTGTGCCCTCAAAATAACCTAGTTCTGTCTAGTAAGGCCTTGAACTCAAATTAATTCCACTCTCTTCCAACAGCCGACTGGTGGAACAACACCATGGTAACCACCGCTGCCCCTCCCCTGATGAATATGACGTTGTCCAGCTTGAACGAGACCCAGTGCATGTCTCTGAGCAAGTCTCTGAACGGCCTCAATGATGTGGGCATGGTTGACTTTGTCTGCGACGATCTCTACTACAAGGCTGACGTCTTTTTCTTCTCTTTCATTTTGTTTATGGCCACCTTCTTCCTCGCCATCTTCCTTGTGGACTTCCGGAACTGGCCGTGCTTCCCCACCTACGTGAGTACGCTTTAGGGGAGGGGGGGGGTTATTGCTGATATTATTACTTTTATCGCCATTATTATCCTTATTCATAGTTACAGTTATCATTATTCCTATTCTTATCACCATTCTACTTCATTAGAGCGCTGCATTTTTTTAAAAACTTGACAATGTTGTCATAGACTTTGTATATATATATATATATATATATATATATATATACTTCGTATTTACATTTCCCGTCTTTTACAAACAGGTTTACTTTTATTTTCCTTGTTTTGATTTAATGTGCACAAGACAGACCGTTCACTTTGACGGCTCATTGTGGTACAGTTCGCTACCTCAGAGTTACAAAGTTTTATCTGCATCAGTACCTACTTTTGAAAAAAATGGCGTAAAAGAGGTTGAATGTCACGTCACGTCAAGTTTTTTTCTAATGCTATTCTTTAAATATCTTGATAACGACTCCAAATAATCTTACGATTTTGATAGTGCAGATAGAACATTTGGTTTCTGACCTCATTGTCTTTGTAATTCAAAATAGCCAAAAATGTCAGATAGAACTTTGTAATTCTAAGGTAAAGCGTTGTGTGCAGATATACCGTTGCAGTTTAAAGATAAGGCCTCTCTATTGTTTCTTCAGATCCGTAATATCCTGGGTGATTTCGCTGTCCTCATTGCCATCTGTTCTATGGTGGGTGTGGATGCCGCTCTGGGCTTAGACACCCCGAAGTTGACTGTGCCCACTGAGTTTAAGGTATGTTGAGGCAAATTATTGTGTTTCCATTTTTATGATTTTTTTTTTAGCTAGACATGGATTAGGCAGACATATTATAGCAGGAGTATGCTTACAGTGTTCATAGGACGGAGAAACAAAACGGGGGTGGAAGGAGTGGGCAAACCGAGAGGAAACAGATTATCAGACAGATAGATCTAGAAATTTTTAAAATTTAGAAAGACTGGCAAATGACATAACACAGAGTCAAGCAGATGGGCCGTTCAACAGTTGTAGGAGATCCTAAAACTCCCCAAACCATGCCACGTTCCATGACGGACGTTTTCAGAATAGCGTTTGGCTCTGTTCGTATCAAATGGATTTGTGTCCATGGTTCTCCCAAGTTTTAATTCCAAAGAGGCTTTTCTTTACTGTTAAATCCCTTAATGTTTAAAAGCACTTCTCACACTCAGTGCAGTCGCTAAATCTGTTCCACCACATACATAACCGTTTTGTCTTGAAACAGACGTCGAACTCTTACTTAACATACGCTACGTGAAGCAGCTAAACTGTCACTGATTATGTGTCTTTCTGCTTCCTCTCTTTTTGACACTCTTATATAACATCACCAAAACAGTACGGAACGAGGTGTGGTGGGCAGAAGTGAAAAAGCTTTGAGTAAAACATTTATTTTAATCTATCTATCTATCTATCTATCTATCTATCTATCTATCTATCTATCTATCTATCTATCTATCTATC